TGTTCAACTGTATACAATGTAAGTGTGTTCCACTGTTTACAATATTAGGATGGTCAACTGTATACAATATAAGGATGTTCCACTGATTACAATTTAAGGATGTTCCACTGTATAGAATTTAAGGATGCTCCACTGTAAACAATTTTAGGATGTTTCCATGTAAACAATTTAGGGATTTTCAAATTTTTACAATGTAATGGTGTTCATTTGTGTACAATGTAAAGTTGGTCTGCTGTTCACCATGTAAGATTGATCAACTGTAAACAATTTTAGGATGTTCTATTGTATACAATGTTAATAGGATGTTCCACTGTATACCATGTAAGATTGTTCAACTTTGTAGAATGTTAGGATGTTCTATTGTATACAATGTTAATAGGATGTTCCACTGTATACCATTTAAGATTGTTCAACTTTGTAGAATGTTAGGATGTTCTATTGTGTGCAATGTTAATAGGATGCTCCATTGTAAACCATGTAAAATTGTTCAAATGTGTAGAATGTAAGGATGATCTATTGTATACAATGTTAGGATGTTCCACTGTATACAATGTAAGGATTTTCCACTGCATACAATGTTAGGATGTTCCACTGTATACAATGTTAGGATGTTCCACTGTATACAATGTAAGGATTTTCCACTGCATACAATGTTAGGATTTTCCACTGCATACAATGTTAGGATGTTCCACTGTATATAATGTTAGGATGTTCCACGGTAATAAATGTAGTGGTCACCATTGTTTTAGAAAAAGTCTAAAGTTTTGAATATATTTGACAGTAGCTATTACCAAAGATTTGCTATTAAAATCAAAGTCATTAAAGAACCAAATAACTAAAATTGAACAGAGATAAACAAGCATATTAATGTATGGCAGGGTTAATTAAGTTTTTTGATAACTAAACCTCCCCCCTTTTTTTATCTTGATTTGTTGAAAATTAAAAAGAAACAGAGAGAAATATAAACTGAAAACCGGTTTTAGAAATAACAACTTGTCTACAAATTTGGTTTTACATGTACCAAAACAGATGTAAAACAGTGCTATTTTTTAGCTCCTACATCATTTCATAAACTTGTTCTAAACAGCCTTTTTTTGTAGTATTCCTACTGGGCAAGGAACTATGAGGTAATTTTTTTTAATCTGTTTTATAAATCATTTTTAATAATGTTATCTTAACAATCTATTCTGTTTTTTGTGATGATTGAATATCGTTCCTGTTATAGAGTTTTCCACCTGGAATTACATAGGCTTGATTTATTTTTCTATTGGACCACAATGCACTGGGACATTTTATTGTTCTTCATAAAGCAATGACTTTTACTGTGATGTGTTGTATCTGTTTATCAAATGAAATTTGAAAATATATATAAATCAGACAATTGTTTGTGCCAAGTATGCATGTATGCTTCAAACCTTTGAGAATCAAACAGACCCAAAAGAGGGAGAAAACATAATGTTTATTAAATTAAATATGATCATTTAGATATGGAAAATCATATAACAGACATATACAATAATTAATACATTTCCTTACATAACATTTTTTGGCATAAAATCAATAACAAAAAAATAAAATTTGTTCTTCTGGTAGATTAATTTTTTAGCACTTTTGGATTTAATGATATAAAGAGCTATTTCATACCAATATTCATTGAAATTTTTATCACACCAGTCATCATAATGTAAACTGAAAAGTTACTAGGAAAAAACAATGTCAAATCAAACTGGATTGACTTGTAATTACAAAGTGAGTTCATTCCACTAGGTACAGCCATAAAACACCAATTTGCTATCAATTTGACAGAATTTTGATTACTGTTAAATGATTAATATTTTTATCAGTCATTCAGCTCCATTGGTTTAATTGTTGATCACATGATAAGCTGTGGTTTATTTCGTTAATTGTGTTTTTTATTTATGTGGAGGTATTATTTATAGGGTGGGTGTTGGTTTATGTTGAATGATTACAGTTCAGTCAAATGTCACTTTATATCAGATTTTATATGTAACTCCAAAATTACAGACCAAGTTGGAATCATTCTTCATTGATTTTGAGTTGATTTTGAGTGGTTTTCACAATTCATAACATATGATTTCAAGATATAGTAACAAAAAACCTAAAGGACTTATTTAAAATAAATGCTAAGTTAAATATATTCTGCCAGTACATTAATTCAAAGATGAATAATTTAAAAATTAAACTGTCAAGACAGGCTTGGATGATTTTAATACATTCTTGAGTACCTGAGGTCATCCCCCATTTTGTTTTAAATGGAGCATCTCCTTAAAAAGTTTGGGCCAGAGCATGCCTAACCAACATCATCTAGAGGCGAGGTGGTATCTATATATATATCTGTCTTGTGTAAACAAATTATTGCTTATGAGCCTTAATGTACAGAGACCTCTCCCCCCCCCCAAACCCTTTGAACAAAATTAGGAAAGGAATTCTCCTATTAAGTCTGGGAGGCACATGTCCAATATGACAATTCCTGAAAAATAAAAAGCCAAATTTAAAAGATTTTATCCAGAAACCAAGATTTTAAAGAATTTCAAACAATGTCTAGCTGTCTATTTCTGTAATTGTGTCCTTAACCTTGGACTTATTGACCTCAAAATCAGCAGGCTTTGTCTGTTTCTTACCATCTATTACCATGGAAGTATTATATTGACAGGAACTACTATGACCCGACTTCAAATGTTTCATCTGTGATGCCGCGCGCAATTTAATGACATGTTAATTAACTTGAAACACGGCACGTTATTTACACACCAGCGTGTGGTGCCCTACAATATCGTCATTCTTGGTTGCTTTTGCGATTACGGAAATAAACGAAGAAATCGAAAGTTGTGATAAATTCTTAGGAAACAGCAATCGGCAAACCTCGGCAGATTCCGTTACCCTGCATCTGCATATGTGTGTCGATTGATAGATTGATGGATTTATGCGAGACATCTTAATTCTATAGAAAAACACATTGACAATGGAAATTTGTACCATATTAATTGAATAAATGCCCCATGTTTATTGATTTATTTTTCGGAAGAAATTACACTATATGTAATATATATCGCAAGTTGTGATATTACTGTTTACTCCAGTGGCACACATTTCATACATATTTAAGACGATTGTAAAATGATTGTTCTTATAAAAATTAAAGATCAAAGAGATTTGAAATAAATGTAGGAATTATCAAGCTTCGCTCTAAATCCAGATCATTGGTTGGTATACGAATGTTTCAGCTGAGCCCCAATGTGTTGAAATTTTGTAAGTACTGCAACTGTTCAATAATATTTACTAGTATCATCTGGACAGATAGTGATAAAATATTTTATGGGACAGAGATGCTTAACTATTCCATAACATTTTATAAGTCTTGTTTTTTCTCAAATTGATAAATACGAGTCAAGATTGGCACATTCATAAATAACAAATAGAAATACTGACACCAGCTGCATATTATCGGATAAAATTCTTTCAAATACGAATATTTTAGCAGTTTTGAATTTCACAAATGTTAAAAAATTTAAACCCACTTATATATATATAATTTTTTTTATAAATAACGAGGTGTGTCTTTTTCTTAACTATATTTGTTATGTATGATTTCTGTGATATTAAGTCCTTGATCGATTAATTTTCGCATTTAAAACTGAAAATTTCTACTTTCCAGGATAATCTAGGTCCGTTGCTATATACATTAATCGGGTTGTCACAGTGTATATATTTATTAAGAAAATTTTCGTGACCCGGCGGTAACTGGAACACACCCTTTTGACAGTTTTAACTTAACCCCTGAAGAAATAAAATAACGTCACTCACTATTTTTAAATCGTTGTAGAATAATTAATTCTGGGCCGATTTTCATTTTTTATGCATCAGTCAATTTGTTTAAATAAGTTGTTCATGAATAAATGTCAACCTACGCGATTGAAATAAGTAAAGGTGTTTTCCAACAGGTATTGATGTTAAACTGTCTGAATAAAAACCATGTGATTGATAAGAAGTATCTCTGGTAAATTTATGACCGCGGCATTGCAGATAGTCACAAAAGAAATTAACGACAGCGTACTAATAAGACAGTTTCCATATCTTTTTTACAGTGCTACCCGGGTTATAAATAAGTGATAATTAATCGTTGTAGTTCTTGTCAATATAACACTTCCATGCTATTACCTATATGAGTCTTATGTAAATCAAACAAGCGTACCTCAAGTAATCATCTAGAAACAATCAATTACCTATTTTCAGTCTATTTTAGCAGCTATGACCTTGACAAATGACCTAAAAATTAATACGGTTGTTCACCTTCCCTATAACTTCCTTCTATGGAAGATTCACTTGTGAACAAACAATGGAACCTCATTAATCAACCTTAACTTTGATCCATTGTCCCAAAAATTAATATGCTCCTTCCCCTTCCATACTTCCCAATTGGTATAAGTTTCATTTCCATTACCAAGGGAAACTCAAAATTTTATAGGGAAAGCATTTGTTTGGAATTTTGGTTCGGTTACATTATAGATTATATCCATTATAGTTTCAAGATAATAGCCAAAATGGACTAAAATGGTAAAAATCATCATTCAAGAGCAATAACTCCAATATTCGTCATCTAACAAATTTAGTCAAGAAGGACAGTTGGTAGATCTTGACAGCAAGGTTAGTTAACAGGCTGGATCATTGGACACATTTATTTAAAATGACATACTTTAAGGATTATTGTGGAAAAATAGAGTTCCAATTGGTCCAGTAAGTTCAGAGAACAAGATAAGTTAAAGGAATAAGGACAAGTGACAGACACCAAGTGATGAGAATAGATCACATGGTCCTATCAGCCAGGTCAGCTAAAATAATAATGCAAACTGGCCTGATAGTTTCAGAAATACTTAAAATAGACAACAAACAAATCTGGACAGCAATTTATTTGACTGTCTTTTGAGCCACTGTGGCTGAGCTCAAACCGAGCACTTATTGTTCACAATTTTTGTACTCACCTTCTACAATTATGTTAGAGATATGCGTTGGTGTCGGAATATCGAACCAGGTTAAATATGGGGTCAACTGTAAAAGCTCATAACCTTTTAAAACTTCTCCTTGTAAATACTTCACAAGCAGTTCCATGTGATCTGAAAAATATTTGAACAAAATAGTTACTGGACATGCTGGAGTAACAAAATATTTCAGCTGAAGATTTAAGTTCAGTTCTATCACTCTTGTTTGATTTATTTTAGAAGTGGTATTTAATTGTATTCTCATTACAATTAAAGAGCACAATGAACTTTAAAATAATATCAAAGCAAAACTGTTTTTTTCCCACTTTTCTCAAACTCGAAACTAATGAAGCATTCCTGTTACAAGAATTGGAAGATAGCCAATTAAAAAGGTTAACTAGGCCTGTCATTTTACTTTAGAATAAATGGCAAACAAAGAACAAATAACTAAAAGTAATCACAATTAATGATGCTATGTCAAAAAACAAGAGAAACGTCAACAAATTGGACGATTGATCTATCAAACAAGTCTGACTGCAACACCTGTTATTCCATGTAATACAGTAAAATTACAGGACCCTTATATAACACGCTGACATAGGTAATGACATTTAACATTCTTTTACTCAATTAATTCATTTCCTAGGGAGTATTCTTCCTTGGTCTCATATTAATATAATACACTATAATGACAACCTGTTTCTTCCCAACTTACCAAGTTAACATTTCTTTCTAAAAATAAATAAACAGGGAAGGCATCACAAATAAAATTAATAGATACAAATTTGAATTGATCAACTTTTCAAATATTTGAAGATAGAAAACCAATTATTTTCCAGGGAAATCATTCATTTCCTATCTGCTCATAAAACCACAGTAACCACTGTAATTAAAAAGTACAACAACATGAAAATAACATTCATCAATTCCCTCTTTAGTCCAACTTTTAAATAGCTGAATCTTTATAGCTTATAACCTAATTACTAGTCCTTTTATCAGGCATTTGAGTTAAAAAAATATATATTAGTTTAAGTCATCTGCTATCTCTATTTATTATTAAATCGAAAACATGCAATAAACTGCATCAAAAAGTAATAATACAGTTTCATGCGATTAGGTATTATATAAAATGCTTCATTAAAGTTACAATAAAATACCTAACGGTTTACCGAAAATATTTATCAGAATATTATATAACATTTAGATTTACAGTTAATTCCTAATTTCGTAAAAGCTGACTGCAATAAAATACTTCTGCTCCATTTGCAATTTTGAAAATATGAATAGCTGGAAAATTTATAATAAAATTGTTTATTAAGATGAAAGTTATAAATATTTAGTACAGAAAGTACAAAAAAATCCAAAGTCAATATCCTTTATTGTCAAATTTATTGACAAAATAATATTCAAAGTCACCATGCCTTAACTTTATACTAAAACTAATGTTTCACTAGGTCTTCATCAAAATTTGATATTTCATGCAAAATTTGGTAGATGTATAATAACTGCAGTAATCCATAATCATGCAACTAGACACTTTGGATCTTTTCACATTTTATTCCTTTTTGAATTTAAGGAGATGTGGTATGATTGCCAATGAAACAACTATCCACCAAAGTTCAAATGAAGTGGATGTTAACAATTAAAGGCAACCATACGGCCTTCAATAATAAGAAAAATCCATACCAGACAAACCATGATCTCTTTATGCAGCTAGTATCCAAAAATAGTCCAAATACCTGGCATTTCAAGAATATTTAAAAAAAAAATTCAAAATCATATGGGCATGCACACTCTATTATGTGTAGAAACATCCTACAAAATATTAAAGCTGTAGCTCACAAACTGTAGGAGGAGATAGCCAGACAAACCATATATCAGACGAACAGACGCACATTTTGTCGCGGTGGAATAAAAAAATGATAATTCATAAAATAATAAGAAATGGCCCCTTACCCTATGAAGACCTTAATTTTTAGGAAAAATATAAAGACAATGCCCTTGAATTTTTACTAGATAACATTTTTGTTAGCTATGGAGATTCCATATATAGTCAGGTTATCGGAATTCCCATGGGGACTAACTGTGCACCACTTATTGTGGATCTGTTTCTGTATTGTTATGAGTTACAATTTATGACTAAAACCAGCAAAGACCCATCGAAACAACATCTGATTCAAAAATTTAATAACACTTTTAGATATTTAGATGATATATTGGCTCTCAATAATGACGACTTCAGAATGTACACTAAAGAGACTTATCCTGCAAAACTAACTTTAAATAAAGCTAATACTAACAATGAACACTGCCCTTTCCTGGATCTTGATATATTTATCTTTAACGGGAAGCTTAATACCAAAATTTATGATAAAAGAGATGATTTTTCATTTCCTATTGTTAATTATCCATTTTTAGATGGTGACGTTCCCTTGTCGCCATCTTATGGTGTTTATATATCTCAACTTGTTCGATTCGCTCGAGTATGTAACAACGTATTTGATTTCAACGAAAGAAATCTCTGTATTACTGAAAAATTATTACACCAGGGTTTTCGACATCACAAACTGGTCAAAACATTTACTAAATTTTTATCATCGGTATAAGGACATCATTCGTAAATATAAATCAACATGCAGACATCTTATACGTTCAGATATTTCACATCCAATATTATATGGTAATATTCTTTACAAAGCACAAAAATGTCGGCATTCACCTCAAAAGCTAACCAAACCTTTAAACAGACTTATTCGGAAAGGATATAGTTATGATACTGTTGTCAAGTCATTAAGGATTGCATATTTTGGTATTAATATTGATTCACTCATAGGGTCTTTGCATCGGAAATAAACACATTTATTCTAAAACCAGTTGTCGGCATGATACAGGTTATGTTCTTCTCATATATTTTATGATGGTATGATACTAAACCCCTTACGGGAGGGATTGTACTTGATTTTCATATGACAAAGTTATAATCTTTCAATCAGTTTAATTGAGGTCTGGAGCTGGCATGTCAGTAACTGCTAGTAGTCCTTTGTTCCTTTATGTATCATTGTCATTTTGCTTAGTTTCTTTTGTTACCTATTCTGACATCAGACTCGGACTTCTTTTAAACTGAGTTTTACTGTGCGTATTGCTATGTGTTTCTTTATTCTACATTGGCTAGAGGTATAGGGGGAGGGTTAAGATCTCACAAAACATGTTTAACACCGCCGCATTTTTGCACCTGTCCCAAGTCAGGAGCCTCTGGCCTTTGTTAGTCTTGTATGTCTTTAAATTTTGGTTCATTTATATGTTTTTGAGTTTAGGGTGACGTCCATTTTCACTGAACTGGTACACAATTTTATTTAGGGGCCAGCTGAGGAGCACCTCCAGGTGCGGGAATTTCTCGCTGCATTGAAGACCCATTGGTGGCCTTCGGCTGTTGTGTGCTCTTTGGTCGGGTTGTTGTCTCTTTGACCCATTTCCCTTCTCAATTTTATAGTATGATTGCCAATGAGAAAACTATCCACCAGCGTCCAAATTGCATGCATGTAAACAACTGAAGGTCACCATAAAGCTATCAACATTGAGCATAACCTTTATTGTAAAGTCAGCTATATAAAGCCCCTACATGACAAAATGTGAAAAACAATTCAGACGAGAAAACCAACAGCTGAAATGCATGGAAACTCTTGAGCAAGTTTATTGTCTAGAAAAAATACAAAAAATATGCTAAAGCAATAATTATATGTTAAAAATTTTATTTTTTTTAGTTATAAAAGCTATGGAACTCCTAAAGTAGTTTCTTGCGAATATCTATGATTTTGGGATCAATCTATTGACTTCTGAATGGTTCACTAATGTAGTATTTAGCATTGACTATGCAAAAAAATAACCATGGATGAAGACATAGTGCATGCTAGAAGGGTCTTATGATAAAAACTTATATAAAAGAGTCATTTTTTAAGTTATGTAGTATATGAAAATGTGGACAGAAAATGGTATATAAAGTATAACATCAATCTGACAATAAAGGATTTTGAATAAATACCAAATAGCTATCCAATTCTGGTGACCAAATGACATGCATGTTATAAAAGACATACAGTTGGGATTAGAGCCATTTTACAATAGTATGTTAAATGAAATGTTTAGTGAGTGTGCTTGCCAAGTTTGATAGGAAAGTAGAAGTTCACTAATGGTCAATATTAGCCCTAAAAATTCTGGCCCATATACAATTTCCCCTTTTTATGACTATTTTTATTTTTGCTTAAGCTGTACTGCAATATTGCAAAACAAACAGCAGACAAAAAAAGGGACTAGTTACTTAAGTTTACTTATTCAAGATTATAAATATATTGGTTTTACACATGTTGTTACAAATTTCAATATTTAGGTTCAAATAATGACCTTCGTAGCCCTACTCCTTTATTATAGCTTTCCAATCAAAATTGACAAATACAGACAATGACATAGTCAGAGATTGAATACAACTATAAAGACAATAAATATATTTAACTGGATAAATAATATACAGATAAGCAATGTGTCAACATTAGCAATCTACCTTACAAACATGACCATATTTTGTTAAACATACTCTTGTATATTACCTATAATAATCCAAAATTTGTTATAGGATCTCCCCTTTCCTATTCCATCTCTATAAGTTTCATTTTAAACCAAAAAAGGACACCCAAATTATCACCAACAAACCAATTTTGAATAAACTTTGACACAGAGATATGTAGTTTTTATAATATACTGCAAATGTTGAAATCAAAATGGCAACATTTAAACATGTAAACTATGCATAACATTCAAAATAAATGAACCAAGACTGAAGGTGCAGGGCCAAATAACCTCCATGGAAAGGAAAATGCCAATGCATATTAAACTGCATATAAAATACCAATGACTTATCATAAGGGATTCCCTTAAAACTAACCTTAACACAAACTTTTTAACATGTACCAACTATGTAAGAGCTGGATCATAAAATATCTATAAAATTGAGTCTTGCAAATGCTAATACAACTGCATACCAAATATCATTGACCTAACATAAGTGGTTCATCTAAAACTGACAAAATCACAAACTTAAACATAAACTATGCAATACATTCAAAATCATTAGACTATGATTG